CCCATCCTATCCCCCTATTCCCCCCCCCCCCAACGGCCACCACCTCACCTTACGTATGCATCTTCTCCAGGGTCCAGGCACCTAATTAGTGGAGCCATGCCTGTGCGGCTCCACTAATTACATGGGTGGCCCTTCATTATCTCGTGTGCAGCTGACCAGGCGCGCACCTTTAAAGGGAACTATCTGTGGACCTGAATGGAGCTCACAGACCACAGTTTGAGAACCACTGCTCTAGAAAGCACTAGTCATCAAGTTTGCTCAACTTGTGAATGAAGTTGAGTGGAATCAGATTCTGCACACTGATCCACTGTCTCCACTAACTGCGTCTCCACTGGTAATGAAGGATTGGAATGTGACAAGCATAGAGAGCGGGCACCCTGACGTGAATCAGTATTACGTGGATATTGGTCATGAGAGGGAGTTGTGCAAGCTGAAACAAATACAGCAAAGGATAATGACAGCTCTGCTATCCAAGGGCTCGGTCCTCCTCCCTGTTATGTCAGTAGCTAAACTTCCACTGGCTACAATTCAACAGAAGCAAGATCTGGTCCAAACTGACTAATCAAACTACAGGAAGTCTAGTTGATAGTAATGTATTTTACAATTCCTATTTCTGCTCCTGTCTCTTGTACCTGGGTTTCTCCATATGAACATAGAGTGCTAAAGCCTATTTAACATTCTGCAGTTCTCTGAAGTGCAGTAGTTAAATTTTTCTTTAATATTTCTTCTAATAATATAAAAGGCAGAGTCTGGATCATAGGAGTACATAGGTGGGGTTCATATTCTGCTATGCATTTCCCCGTTACTCAAACAGTACATGAAAATAAAGTTGAGTTGATTTTACTGAGATTGTAAACGCTCTGGGGTAGGGATGGTGTGCCTTATGTTTTGTAAAGTGCCTAGCATATGTAAGGCATAAGATTGGCAGGGGCGGGAGGAGAATGGACCAGTAGAAAGATTAAAGATCATATGCATGTGTACATGGTGGCTGGAAAATTTGTTCCATTGAGAAACAGCTTGTGGTCAGACTACTGTAATACATATGCACACAAGAGGGCGGAGTTAAACTTGTGTAAGCTTATTTCCCCCCCCCCCCTCCACCCCCCCAATATTTCCTCCCTTTGCTTAACGGGCTAGTTTCAATATCGCATTGACACATTTTGCATGGGCTACAGTCCATTTGTAAATACTCCTCCTAGCTCTGCACGTTTCTTGTCAAATGCATGCACAATGTTTACATCCTTAAATATTTCCGTATGCCCAACAATCCGCAAATCACTAGCTTGTGTATTTTGAGAAACAATGGTCTCTTTCTGTTTTCTTTTGCTTTGCCTGGAGTCCAGAGGAGTTAAACAAAAATGAGAAAAGGTTTAGAAAGCCCAACCTCA